TTCACGACGGTCATGTTGCTAAAATTTGATGTGCATAATAATAAACAAAACAGAAAAAGAAGCTGACGTGGCTAAGAAAGGAAGATGAAGTCCGGGAACTTAATTCTCTACAAACAGCTCCATTCTATACTCAGTAGGCCACTGCTTATTTGGTATACTTTAATGACTGTTTTACCCTCTGATCTGTGTTTTGTACCTTTAGTACATATTAATACAATACACTTGAGCACATACGATTAATTTGGGCGAAATAACCCCTTAAAACCCTACACTTTGTCTTCACTCTCTTCTTACTTCGCAAAAGCCTAATTTCGTGAGAACCTTGCAAACGAGAGACCAAGTGCCCCAAGATTATCATTGCAAACGAGAGAACAAGTGCTACTCAAACATCACAGAGGATTTGAGAGAGAGGGCGACCCCAGTCTTTCAGTAGTTAGTTAGCTTGTATCCTCTTTTGTTAGTACTACAAACAAATCTCAACCGGTTTTGCTAGAACTGAATGAATCCTGTTTTGGTTGTCTTTCAGTGAATATCGTAATGTTGCTCCATTCTCTACAATCTATTTTGCATCGAGAGTATTCGATGTTTACACTACTTTGTGTTCATTCTTGCGTTGCGAGCATTAAAGAAAGAATTGATCTGATCGAACAAAAGCTTGACAAGCATGCATGTGGGAATTTGCCTCCTTTGTTCTTAGACCATCTCCAACCCATCTCTATTTTCATCTCTAAAATAGAGTTTATAGTCAAATTTACTCCAACCCATCTCTATTTTCATCTCTATAATAGAAATTGCTATTTTTTTTCTCTATATCTGGAGATAGAAATAGAGATTTTTTTTGTCATATCCTAAAAGATAAGAAAAAATAGCATTTCTCTAAAATAGAGTCATACATTGAAGAGAAAATAGAGAAATGCTATTTTTTACTCTATTTAGAGATAATACATTGGAGATGCCCTTAGCTATTTTGTAAATACAACTAGCCTTATGATTGATCTGGCACTGGTTCACTCTTTTCCCTTGGCAATTGGTTCACTCTACTTCTTCTTCTTTATGGGTACCTTAACGGACTTAAACAAATCTGTTTTGGAATATTTTAGAAACTCTCACCTTTTATCCTTGTAAACAAACAGGTCTAGATCCTCTCCATAAATCCCTCTTCGTCTTGTACAACCCTAATTTTCATCTTATGAGAAAATGTCTAACCCATAGGTTTTTTTCGATGTCACCATCAAGGGCGTTCCTTAGATGGTGAGAACGTGGTGGGCGGACAGGTTGTGGAAAGAATGGATTTGGTGAGGACCATTAACTTGCTCGGAAATGAAGCCGGAGTGCCCTCTAAGAAAATGGCCATCGCCGACTACGGTCAGACGATGCCAGATGCTTGTACAAACATTTTCCATCTTCAGACGAACCCAGAGAACCCAAAACTTGGTGGGATCGTGATCGAGCTCTTCGCCGACATAAATCCAATAACTGTGGAGAACTTCTGATGCCTTTGCACCGGCAAGAGAGGAACCGGGATGCTGAGTGGCTTACCACTCCACTACAAAGGATCAAGCTTCAACGTTATTCACCCCCATTTTGGGATCAGGAGGACGTATCACCGGCGATGACGTGAATTTAATCGATTCGATCTACAGAGGGGCGTCACGCTGCATGTATTGTCACCATGACTACCCGTGCTTGAAATACCAACGGATCTGAGTTCGTCATATGCCTGAACTGGTGTCGGTTCGCAGACGGTCAGAACGTCGTGGTCGGGCAGGTTGTGGAAGGAATGGATTTTGTCAGGATCATAGGGATGTTCGGATATGCATATGGAAAGCCCTCTCAGGTTATGGTCATCGTCGACTCTGGTCAGATTTCGTAGATCTCTTGGCAAAAATTAATGGAGTATATTTTTTTAGACCAGTTGTCTCTAGTCGTTTTCTGGTTTGATATTTTCTTGGGGGAATCTTGTTCATTATAATCAGGCCAAGTATTTAAAACTAATCATGATGTGATCGATGAAGCAAATTTAGAATTATATAGACCAACATGTTGATTTATAAATGTTGTACATGTTTTCTGTAGTAATCATCCGTTCATAAGCAAATATTTTGCTTATTGATCACCCCATACTTTTTGGAAGACCAAGATATATATTATACGCTCCTCATTCTTCTAAAATTCTACTAACCGATTTAAGTTCCCCTTTGATCGGTTATAAAATCGCTTGTCGAAAAATAATTGAAGACTTCAGAGAAATTCGATCTTTTTGGCTTCAGCAACATCTACAATTATTTTGCCTTCGATCCATATTTGCTTTACAAAAAAAAGGTAATCTAATCATCTGCCAATAGAAAATGAGAACTTGGGAGTTGGGGGACAACAATCTTGCTTCTTTTTTTTTAGCGATATTAGGAACTACATTTGAATAGAAACGAGATCGAGATTCTCCGTAGAGAATACGGAGAAGAGCTCGAGAGGATTTAGAGATAAGAGCAATGTTTCTGTTATCGAACAATAAAGAACAATACAACGATAATATAGCTTTGGTTTAGCACATAAGCTTTAACCAATTCACAGCTTAACCAGAACAAACCGGGTTTACACATTTAACTCTAATAAAAGAACTTAATTCCTCTTGAAAACTGATAGTTTTTGCTTTCATTCCTAGAATGGTGGCCGAAAATCTTTAGAGGAGATCATTGGTTTGGAAGTGGAAGTAGCTAAGACTCTGAATAACTCGTTACAAATATGACTAAATCATCTTTGAGATCATCGAGATTAACATGAGTCGGACAAGTACACGATTTCTACAACGCAGATTGGTATAGAGATCACATTGATTAGCACGATGAAAATGAGTTGCATCGCGAAATTGTACAACTTTTTTGTTTGGCTAATTAAATTGTAGAACTCAAGTTGGTAAGTAGCTTGATTTTTGGTTTCTTGTTCGATGACCCATTTGTTTTGGTTGTTCAGCCGGATGGTGACCCTATACAGCACATTTTGAGATATGGCCTTGTTTCATTGGTAGTGCAGGAAGATATCCCCAACAGACATTAATGTTATTGGTTCGGTTTTGTTCGTAAGCTTTTTTTGTTCGACAAAGTATATAACCTTAGGTCGAGCCAATTCAGAAACGAGCAAGCCATTTAGTCAAGCAAACACAATGACGCCTCAGAAAGCTTTGATGCTAAATGGTCTCATAACAATTACCAAGTGTTCACTGTTCTTTGAGAAACCAGTTATTGAGCAACAAAGGCAAAAAGAACAAAGACTCCTAAAAGAATTGTCTCTCTTTTCTCAAGTTAAGAGAATTGAGTGGATCTAATAGTCCATGCCTCCCATTCCCCCCATGCCTGCTCCAGCTCCTGCTGACTCGCTTTCGTCTTTAGGAAGCTCGACCACTACTGCTTCAGTTGTTGTCAACAAAGATGACACACTGCAACAAACAATTATGTATACAGTTTTAGCTTAGACTCCATCGAAAAGGTTGAAACAAACATTGTTAGCTTTTCGCTTTTGATTACCTCGCAGCATCAACCAGAGCCGTCCTGATCACTTTCAAGGGGTCTATGATACCAGCTTTCACCATATCAACATATTCACCTAGTTTTTCTCCAGAGTTAGCTAAAGACAACCTTGAGATAAGAGTAAATGTGAGGTGATAAAGGATTCTTAGCTCACCTTTAGCAGCATCATAACCAAGGTCTGGGTTATCTTGCTCCAAGAGTTTGCCAACAATAACAGCTCCTTCGACTCCAGCATTTGAAGCAATTGTGTAAACAGGGGTCTGGCAAACCAAAACTCGTTAAACAACTTATTTTAAAGAATCATTAACATCAGATGGTTTATGTTGTAGAGAATCGCTAACCTTCAATGCATTCTGAATGATCTGCACACCAATTTTCTGGTCAAAGTTGGCTGTTGGAAGTTTTTCCAACTCCCTTGCTGCGTATAGAAGAGCCACACCTCCTCCTGCAAGTGTTTTAAATTTTTCTTGAGCACATCGCAAACTTTTTTTGCTTTACGTTGAAAGAGAGTTCCTTGCTGGAGGAGACATACCTGGCAAAATACCCTCTTCAACAGCTGCTTTAGTGGCATTCAAAGCATCAGTCACTCTGTCTTTCTTCTCACCAACTTCAGCTTCACTTGCTCCTCCAATCTAATACCCAAAGAGCCCCATAATTAATAACAAAACAAGGCTGCTAATTATGATTTCAACACTAAAGAAACTCTTAACATCAACCAACCTTCAAAACAGCCACACCTCCAGAGAGCTTAGCCAACCTTTCTTGTAGTTTCTCCTTGTCATATTCTGAGGTGCTCAGTTCAGCTGCTGACCTAATCTGTTTGTTGCAATACCAAGGATTAGAATATTAGCTATTCTACATCATCTTCCTTACAAATTCTACCAACTGAATTTAAGGAACAAAACCAACCTGGTCACATCTTTCCTCAATGGCTTTCTTGTCACCAGCCCCATCAAGAATAACAGTGTCGTCCTTGGAGACTGTAACCTATAAAAGAGCAAGACAAGTCTCAACCCACAAGGATATGCTGAAAATGTCATTGTCAATCTACATCAGTTAAGCTTTCAAACAATACCTTTTTGCAGGTTCCTAGCATGCTGAGGTCTACCTTCTCCAGATTCATGCCAAGCTCATCTGTTATAACCTGTAACAACCCAAGTCAATATATATTGCAATTTAGACAGGGTTCACAAGACTGACACGATACGCAACAAATGTACTACCTCTCCCCCGGTAAGGGCAGCAAGGTCTTGCAAATTGGCCTTCCTATTCTCTCCAAACCCAGGGGCCTTGATGGCACAAACCTACAGAGAGGAAACTGTCAGTCTCAAAACAAAGAAGATCATCCCTCAAAATCAGGAGAAAACAGGTTAGTTATTCAAACCTTGATTCCCGCACGTAGCTTGTTAAGGATAAGAGTTGCAAGAGCATCACTTTCCACATCTTCAGAAACAATCAATAGCGGTCTTTGTTTCTGTAAGGTTTTATTTGGACAACAAAATGACAAAGACATGTTAGACACCTCTAAGACAGAATTTTCAAGAGAGATGAATCCTTTCAACTAATCAAACATAAAGCCTACAAACCTTCAGAGCCAACTCCAACACTTTCACTATGGAGTTGATGCTTGTGATCTTCTTCTCGTGGATAAGAATGAGAGGATCTTCTAGTTCCTACAAAGATAGAATCACGTTCTGTAAATTCTATAGTCGATTTGACCGATCAAGTAACTTGATTGAGTAGGGAGTAATTAACTTACACATTTTTGGGTTTTTTGATTCGTGATGAAGTATGGGGATGTATAACCTCTGTCCAACTTCATTCCCTCTACAACTTCCAACTCGTTTACTAATGTCTTTCCGTCCTGCAATGCATTTTTACCCGCATAAGAGTTATGATCTGACCAATCTATCAGCAACATAAAGCAATAATTGGCGATTCACTTACTTGGATTGTGATAACACCTTCTTTGCCAACCTTCTCCATAGCCTTTGCAATCAATTCACCAATTTCCCTCTCTCCATTAGCAGAAATGGTCCCAACCTGTGCAATCTCCTCAGATGTGCTGATCATCCTTGCTCTGCTTTTAAGGTTTGTCACCACAGCATCAACTGCCATGGAAATACCTCGCCTCAGGTCCATCGCATTCATTCCTGCGGCGACTGATTTGCACCCCTCAGTGAATATTGCCCTGGTGAGTACAGTAGCACAAGTAGTACCTGCAGGACAATAGGAAAGATTTGGTAAATAGTCCATCAAAGTTTCTACAACTATGAACAGAAGAATCAAGTTAAAGACACAAGAAATCTTACCATCACCAGCAACATCATTAGTAGCATTTGCAACCTGCTTCACAAGACTGGCACCGACGTTCTTAACTTTATCTTTAAACTCAATGCTTTTGGCAACCGTAACACCATCTTTTGTCACTTTAGGAGCACCCCAACTTTGCTCAATCACAACATTACGCCCCTTCAAAATTAGTACCACAGAAAGTCAGTCTCATTGACGCTTAGACCAAACTAACATAAGATGTTAAAGATCTGGCTAAATCATGTCTAAATCAATTCAAAGTGAGAACAAAAGGAGTACCTTAGGACCCATAGTGACCTTAACAGCATCGGCAAGCTCTTCAACACCTCTAAGCATCAAAGCTCGAGCTTCAACTCCAAACTTAATGTCTTTCGCTGCATAATTCCTGCTCCAGCTCATTCTGCTGGAAACCTGAGCACAAAAAGACATCAAGTTACCAAAAGGGACCAAAAAAAGTAAACCTCGTAACAGAGAGTTACAGAACCAGCAATTAGATTTACCTGGCGGGTGTTTCTGGCAATCCTGTGGAAAGGGACAAAGAAAAAAACCACTTTTGTTATTTCGGATTTTAACATGAAATAAAAAAAAACAGAATCTTTCTGAAAAATTGGGATAAAAGCAAGCAGATTTAGAGAACCCAGAAGAAATGAAGAAGAACAAATCAAAACCCGAATCGATTTAGTTATCCATTTCCTCCCATAGTTCACCAGCAAACAAAAATCGATAAGACTAAGAGAGTGAGTTCTTACGTTGCCTTGGAGGCGAGGTTAGAAGCGAAACGATACATGGTGACT